ATATATATATATAGTAAGGGAACAGCTAGAGGGAAGAATTTTTGAGTTGGAAAGGTAGGTCCCAGGTCAAGGGAAAAATATCTAAGAGAGAGAGAGAGAGAAAGAGGGATGAAGAATTTGCAAATGTGAGGTAAAGCTAATTTAAACAGGAATATTTATGCATTTTCATAAACTTATTCAGATCTCTGTACTTATAGCCTAAGCAAATGTAGTATGACCAAATGGATATTCTAAATTGATTGAAATATGGAAGTTAGCAATGTCAAGCAGTTTGCAAGTGACCAGAATATTACAACTTATTTCAAGCAGGGATGCATTATATCTGGTTGGATAAATCCTGGAATAAAACATTCCATAATTAAGCCACAATGAAAAATAATGCGTCTAGACATCCTAATGGACAGTGAGAACCGAGATGGACAGTGCCCATTGAGAAACATCTGTTCAGCAGATGGCTGTTCATGCCTGAATAAACAGAATAATAGTGGAGAATATTTGGAGTGGACTTGAGTGAATTCAGGTATTGCAGGGTTTTATGTACCCCATGACAAGCATATGAGTAATGGCATGAATAGTGGTGATTAATTGTATTTTCCAAACAACTTTTATATGTATCTCAAAATCTCAGTGTTTAATAGTTAATCACTTCCTTTTTTTCTTAAAATGTCACTTTCTTGAAATCTTTCATAATTTGAAAATTAAAATAATCAGGTTTTTTCACCATATTGCTTCTCTTTTATCACTCTGGACATCAATGATGCAATTGTTCCCTAAGGAGTTTTCAATTCTGGCTGCTTATCCCTCATTTGATGTCCAAATCCTGTCTTTGCAAGATGACAGCTTGTTGCTATGGTAGTGATGGCAGGTAACAATGTAGCTGTCACATATTATTAATCCACTGCCTTAAGACCAGCACCAAAATATTGCCACGGTACAGGCACTGAAATCAGACCTGGCTTCTTTCTGTCATTCAGCCAGGGTTCATTCAAAAAGTAATATATCCCTTTGATTATGCCATTTCAAGAGCATGGAAGCAGAAAGAAATTTGTGCAGTGACTAAGAGTGGAGAACTTTACCATGAGGATCAGATATAGTTTAATTGCCAATCTAGGAAACTGAGGTCAAAGCAATAGTGACGCTAGGGATGATGGCATGGGAAATTATGATCCTTCATTCAAGAGTGACTTTGGATTTGGAAAGAAGGAAGGAAGAAGAAACAGAAAAGGAAGGATTACTGTAGTTACTCAAATATAAAACGAGGTTCTCTCTCCAATCATCTCAGGCAAAAAATCCCCTCATCTTGCATTTCCATACAAGAAAACCTCATTAAATACATTATCTACATTAACCTGCTGCCAAAAGCAACATGTGCTCAGTAATGGAAACCAACTATAAAATTGACTAAATGCAGCCAACACTGAGTATGATTATAAAACATATGGTGCATATATATATTTGTATCCAAGGCCAAATTAGCCAAAACTAATTCCAAATTCAAGAGTCCAGAACCATAAGTGCCCCTACTACTGGCAAACATCCTCCACCCACACCTGAAGCCTCAAATGTTTCCAAAACCTTTGGTGGGCATACTACTTGCAGACCCAAGCCTGGAGGCTTGGGGTTTGGATGCCCCTGAGTTTTTCTTGCCTTTAGCCATAAGGCCCTTGGAGCAAGCAAGGGATGAATTCTCATTTCTGTAAGCTGGGTTTAAAGCTGCTGCCCACCTCAGCGGGTACTGAGCCACACCAGAAGAGCAGTTCTCCTGTAAGGCAGGTCAGGAAAACTACCTTCTTGGACACAGATACATGGTATCTGCCAGGTTAAGAAGCCACTATGCTTGATGTGAGCTTTCAAGAGGCCAAGGAGCAGTGCATATATGGCAAATATTAGCTTACCCCACCTGTATAATATATATGGTAGCGCCCATTGAACACTGTATCCCTCAGCACTGACACTTTTTAAAGTCATAGTGAGCTACTACATTGAATATGTTTTAATTTCCACTTCACCTCCATAGCTGATCTGCACCTTTTCCCCCGCATTCTTGTTTTTTAGCCATCCTTAAATGTCTGGCAAACATCACCAAATGGGGCCCCAAAAAGCTTACCCAGATCCCTCTGTTGCCTCATCTCTCAGCATGTCTCATATTAGTGTGGCCCCACCCTCCAGGAAGTGGAGGTGGAGCTGGAGCTGGAGTTGGGCTGGGTTGTCCTATGCTTCATCTGCATATACATTTTTGGAGATGCCAGGACTCATGACAACAACACCTGGTTCCAGTCATGAGTGGGGGGCTAATTAGTACATGAGTCCTTTTTATTTGGAATACACATACATATTGAGCAGTGCTGAGCTGTGGGATCACCATGGTTGGAAATGCTATTTTCTCTGCTGGGGCCCAGCCCAACAAACTATATGGTAAATCATGAGCATCTTGACTTTGCATGCATAGTTTATACTAGAGAAGCACTGCTTAAAAGTTTGTTTATGGAATACCTTTGCTAAAACATGCAGCAGTTTCAAAAGAGATAAGCTACTTCAATTCTGGATTAACTAAGTCTATGGGTACCAGTAGTAACTTGCAGATATGCAAGTCACTGTAGGTATGTTTATTTTTAGGTCAGTGTTTTTAAATATGCCATTCACTACCATGTGTTCAGGAAGAGCAGGATCCAATAGTAAGGAGGTCGGGGAAAGAAGGCAAGGGGGCTACCTGACCCACTTGATTTATTTTCCTAGTGCGAGAGGGACAAGTTCAAAACAAACCCCAATTATTAGATGCTATATCTGGAAAAATATAACAAATTTATAAATTATGCAGGTATAGAATCTAATTATTGGGGAGTAGTCTTATAATGAAGGTCATCTTATATTTGAGCAAATACAGTAAATAATGTATTTTTAGTGGGGGGAAAAGAATACACAGTTCCAAATCTCTCAGCAATGTTCTTTGGAAAGCTCTTAAAAGTACCACACAATTATGGATTTTTTTTTCTTTTTCTTTTTAACCTTGTTTTTTTATTGTCAGTCATGCAAAGAAAATTTCAGTAAAAAATCCAATACAGGTAATTGAAACTTCATTAAAAACAAGTCAGTGAATCATGCCTACCCCATTATAGCACCCAGCAACGAGCTCTTTTTCTGGCAAATACAGAATTTCTGTTCCCTTATTATTGCATCCTAAACCAGTTGTTCTCAATCTGTTCAGAGTCAGGGCACCACTCCAGCAATTTTTTTTTTTTTTTTTAACATGGTGGCACCCTCAGTAGAGAACTTACCTCTCTGCTTTTCAACCAGGTGCTACAGCGTCCTCATAAAATTGCCCTGTATGCCTGCTATACAGTCAGCCCAGGAATGGCTGTGGCATGTGTGCATGCTCTTCCTGCACTGTGGCTCTCTGATCAGCCTAAAGCAGGCAGGAGCTGCCTTGTGCTACAGCCCTATCTGGTCTGGCTCCCCAGACTTCTTCCAGAAAGAGAAGCATACAGATAGCATTGTCCCATACTCCTCAGTTTCCAAGAGGAGCATGGGGAGGGGTGTGGGAAGGCTAGAATGGGAAGGGCTACAGCCTGAGGCAGGCCCTACTTGATTTGGCTCATCAGAACCTAATGCAGCAAGAATGTATGTGGTGCAGAGCCCTGATGCATGTCACACAACCCCAGTTGAGAATTGCTAGACAAAGAGTTATTCTACACTGTTCATACATCTAAGCTAGTTGCATATCTTGTTAGATTCCCAAAATATGAGTGAAATCTTCTGAAAACACATGGAGAGTTGGGCTAGAGATAGTAATATTGCAAGTAATATATACTTTGGAATCTACAGCACCAAGAATCTCTAGAAATTCTTTCCCACAAAACTTTAGTGGTCTGTCCAAAAAGAAAGCTGCGGCTCACAAAGAAATGGGACACATCTCACACTAAAGAAAAAGTATGAAGGGGACAGAGTGGGAGATGACTGAGCAACACGAATGTTCTCCTAAGATGAAAACACACAAAGAAATCACACCAAAGTCTGGACATGGGGCAAGGGTAATTTGTACCTTGATGACTTGTATTCCAAAATTTGTGGGAAGAGATCAGTAGTGAAATGATGCAGAAGGATTCAAGTAGCTGTACCATACTATTTACAACCTCCTCAGTTTCTCAGTGTACTGTTTAAGTAAAACAAACAAACAAACAAAAACAAAGGAAAGCATCATATTTCTTTCCTCAGTTCAAGCCTTTTGGTGGAATTGTCTTTACTTGAACTCATTGGCTATGTACAGCCAGTCAAAAAGACCAAGGCTGAATTAATTCAACCTTTGCAGGTTAATCTAAGTTGCATAGATTGGACCAATAAGTAAGTGAACAGTCATTCACTTTTGATTCTGGAAATGCAGCCCCATGTTTGCAGTGGCCCAGGCCAGAAGACAAGGGGAGCTAGAGCACACCTCCCTGCTCAGCTGCAGCAGATATCTTGGGCCAAAGCTAACCCCCACGCCCTGTGAGGTGGGGCTTGCAGGGGAAGTAAAAGCATCCTTGGAAGCTGGAGGACTAAGAGTTAACTTGAAACTGGAGGGGATCTGTAACAGAGGTTCAATAAACCTAGATCAGTTAACTTTGATACTACATCCTTCCAGGTTTATCTTAAACTGGTTTCAACCACTTTGAAAGCAATTTATGTGCACTGAATTTCTGTTGTTTGAACCAGTATCTGATCACTTATACCAGCTTATGCAATTAATGTCCCTAGCTATTAAGTTCAAGCTCATAAACCTAAATGCCTATGATACACACTAGAATAGCTGCATTGGTATGCACAATATAGAAGTCATAAAGTCATTTGTAAAGTCTGAAGTAATTAAATAATTTGTTTGCTGAATACTGCAGCCTTTTTAATTTGACACATTGGATTCTTGACACTGGGACTGGAATACATCAAGAGTTATGATACTAAATTATGATAATGTGAAATAACTCTTTTGATTTCAGTTAACATGAAGCAGGCTTGATTTTAGCCCATGAGTTTATAGTGTAACCACCCTCATTTTCAAAGCCTGATAAACAAGGGAATATAGTAGCATAAAAATAGATACATAACATAACAAGTCAGCAGTTCAGGGTCCAATGCCTGCTAAGCAAGACCTGAGGGAGCTCATGGTTTCTGTCACTGATGTATTATCATATTTTACATCTATTTGAATAATCCTGAGATTGATGCATTTTATGTAAAACAGTGATTTGGCATAAGCAGTATAGCTCAGCAGGACCAACAACTAGGTGAGAAGTGCAAACTGCTAATCAAAGAAAAGGAAGATGAGAGAAAACTGTTCATAAAATATCTTGGACTGAAAGAGCAATCTGATTGACTGATGGAATCCAAGTTCTGTGACTGTAAAGCCCTCTAGCTCCAAGTTGGGAGCTTGCTCATTTTTACCACAGTATCACTTTCTAGTTTGTGCACAATATCAAATGCCCTTCTCTGCTGCTGGAGGTCCTCTGTTTCCTGGCATATTGCAGATGGGTGTATGAATGTCCCAGAACCACACACTTTGTTCTCCCTCAGTGCATGGTATGTCTTGGTGTAAGTACACTTCCCAGTTCAAACAAGCCTTGCTTTATTTGCTTAAGTCTTTGTTGGTCTACCAATGTAGTTGTGTCCATAGTAGCCTAGACAGTACAGTTCCAGGCAGAACGGGTCAGAGTACCATATGCAGAGCGGGATGCAGAGTGGGGCAGAGCACTATATGCAGAACGGGACTTAGAGCGGGACTGAGTGCCATATGCAGAGCGTAATTTGGAGCTACATTGAAAGCGAGATGCGGGGGCTGCTCTGGAGACCCATGCAGACTGTGAAGCAAAGCGGGACACTGTACTGCCTAAGGGACCCCAGTGAGGGCCACACACTGAGTGAGACAGAGACCGAGCCACTGGGGAAGGGGCAGAGGGACCCACAAAGCGAGCCATGGGAATGCTTACTGAGCGAGATGTTGCATTAGATATGGAGCCATGCACTGCACGGGACACTGGAATGCTCAAAGGGTGGGATACTGAAGTGGACGCAAGGCCATACATAGAATGGGACATGGGGGTGCAAATAGGGTGAGAGGCTGGAGTAGACATAGTGTGGGACACTGGGGCACGAATAGGATGAGAGGCTGGAGTAAACATAGCATGGGGCACTGGGGTGCAAATAGGGCGAGAGGCTGGAGTAGACATAGTGTGGGACACTGCGGTGCAAATAGGGTGAGAGGCTGGAGTAGACATAGCATGGGGCATTGGGGTGCAAATAGGGTGAGAGGCTGGAGTAGACATAGCGTGGGACACTGGGGTGCAAATAGGGCGAGAGGCTGGAGTAGACACAGCATGGGACCCTGGACCATTTAGGGGATGGGATGCTGGGGTGGACATAAAGCCACAGGCAGCATGGGACACTGGGGCATTTAGGAGGTGGGATGCTGGGGTGGACACAGAGCTACAAGCAGCATGGGACACCAGGGCACTTGGTGGATGGGAGGCTGAGGTGGGCATAGTGCCAGATACACTGTGAGACACAGGGGTGTGAACAGGGTAGTAAGCTGAACTGTTAGGAGAGCCAGTCATGAAGTGTGAGAGCAGAGCAGACATAGCATTGTTTGCTGGGATAGACAGAGAGTAAGGCATTGGGGGTTGGACAGGGTGAGGAATTGGAGCAGAAGCAGAGCCACCAACAACCTGCGTCACTGGGCGGCACAGGGGGCTGGATGCTGGGGCAGATACAGAACCACTCACTGAATGAAACATGGGGGCACTCATGGCAGAAGGCATAGTGTCACATATAATATGGAAGCCAGAATCAGACTGGCTCAAAGAACTGCACAGGGGATGTCCCACAGGGAGGTACACATAGTCAAATGTGGGCTGGCTCCCAGAGCCATTCCCAGAGGTGCACATGGGGATGCACATATAGTCCACATATGAATCTCCATGAGGGAGGGAGCCAGAGTCACACACTGGGAGAGTCCCTGAGTTGCACACAGGGAAGGACACTGAATTGCACCTTGGATCACACACATCAGCACTGGCATAACCTTTGCAGTAACCAAACCTGTGACATGCAAAGTTGGCTAAGAGCCGGTGGCAACCATGCCTATAGGGTATAAACTCCACTACAGTCCGTGTTTGGTGATTGGAAGCCAAGGTTCCTAAACTGAATGAAGAGACAAAAAAAAAGATTAGTGTTCTTTGTTACATACATAGCCTGTAGGTGTGCTGGATTGAACACAGAACCACCCATAAAGTGACATTATTCGAAGAAACAGAGAGCAAGACATTATGGCATGGATAGGGTGGCATGCTTGGGCAGACATGGACAAAATGAGATGCCGGGCATATGTACACCTGTTATGCCTGTTGACATTGGAATAGAGGGGCATTCTGTAAAGTTAAAACATAGCAGGTATAACAAAGTATAATGTTTTACACTGGAGAAGTTTAAAAAACCTGCCACCCTTACTCCAGTTTGACATTCCTTTCTTCCTTCCCATCCAAAAGAAAATCACATGATGAAAAGCATGATTAATATTTCCTTCAGCCTCAGGATGAACTGGGGGAAATGAGCAACAAGCTGATAACCTTTTCTTTCAATACCCATAGAAACCCATCTGATCTATGTACCATATACTGTGAAATAACACCTTGAACTCTTTACACATATAGCATATTTCCTTCCAATTTAAACTTAATATTCTAGTTATGGTCTTTTCAATAACCTAAAATAGATCAATGAGCTTTATTAGGTTAAGTTAATATAGTTCAATTAGAATATCTCCTAATGGTCTTCTGTCAAGACTAAATAATTCCAATTGTTCTCAATTTCTCCTCAAAATCAAGAATACCAATGGATAGTAACTAGGTATTAATCTATTCTAAGATGAAATGGCATTCTGCAAGCACTCAGTGCAGTCCTTCCTTTAAGATGTTGTGGCCTTACAAAACATATTAGTAATCCCCTTCCTTTATCTAGTGTTGAATGAACTGCATGCTAATGAATCTTGGATATATTGACTCTTTTTTCACCTAGGTTTAGAGAGATATTAACTACAGATTCAATGGGCTTATTGTATTCTTTCCATGAATAAAAGCCCTGCTCAAGCAGCAGGGATCCAATTAGCATTTCTGGCAAAGAAAACAGTGCATTTCCCATACAGATTGTACCTTTTAAATTATGTTTTAAGAAAAATAAACCATTAATATTGTCCCCTCTCTATATTCTCTGATCTGTTTTTGCTGCTTTAGAGGACATGCCCTTCAGGGTATCAAAGCAGAGACATGGAATAACTGCGGCCAACTGTTGGCACCCTTGAGGAGTGCCACTCTGATCCCTTTCTCACCCAGACTGGTGCTCTGCTTTGTGCTTTCTGCTACCCTCCCTCCTTTCTTACTGTGCTTTTTATCCCCTCCGCAGTCTGCTACAAGCCACACAGAGAGGCTGCTTGTGCCACTTGTGGCACCTGTGTTTCAGATTGGCCACCCCTGGATTAGAAAAAACAAAATCCCATCCAAGTTTTCCACAACAGTAGCACAGGTATTATGTCACTTTCTTCCAACATATGCCTGGTTTAACAGCTTTCAGGGCTTTTTAGCTATGACATTATATTTAAATTTTCCATTGTCAAATTGAGGCTATGAATTTCCCACCTAAAAATCTGTTAAACTTACTCAACAGTCATTGGCTCTTTGAATAAGCCACAGCCTTCCAGGTTCAGCACACAATTCTTCAGATCTTCCTGGAGGGGATTGCAGAAGGAGATTTCTGCAGTACATGGTTCATTCAGCCTAGGTAGACCTAAGAGCTAGTCAAAGACACAGAAACAGTCTTAATCTTTTACCTTTTCAGAAATATAGCATTTATATTAGACTGTATTTTGCTAGTTGGTGAACAAACAAACAAACAAATGGTGACTGCCTGCAGGTGCTGCTGGCAGTATCAGCAGCGCCTTTTCGCAGGGGGTGCACCGCCACATTCAGGGGGTGCATATGCAGCCATGTGCACCCCCTACATGTTAACCCTAAAAAAAGTCCTACAGATTAAGAACTTTTCATCACTGCAGGCAGGCAGAGGGGCTGACAGTACATGCACACACATGTGCCTGTGTATCTTTGAACAATGAGTGTCCCAATGAGTCGCTCTATATGAAACAGAACTATCTTGTAATCCTTTACCTTAATAGCAACAGTAGGCCTGTTGATCACAATGTCCCTTTTCACCACCAGAACTTCTCCTCCACACTCTGGATCAGAGATAGCTACCAACCTCATAATGTTGTGATCACCCAGATGATGGCCATATTGATTATAAGATATATGTAATGGGATTGTTTTTGCTGTAAAACAAAATTATTTTCATTACAGTTGAGTTAATATATCATCCCTGCTCCTCCATTCTGTGCTCGACTGGCAAGAAAAAAAACGACTTTGTCATTGTATGAAAATGTTATGCCTTTGTTAGCAAATATTGATATCTACAGTCACATATACACAGTGGCCGATTTCATGCATTCAGGGATCTGTAACTATATAATTTTATTCACCAAGAGGATTCTCCTTATTTGAAGCCTCTAGGTCAAAGATGGCCATCAGTATCTCCAAACCTTTGAAATTAAAGCTTGGTAAGATTTAATTTAATCTTTAATAATAGCCACTGTAGTGTGCAAGATTGGGGCACATCATGCCCCTGCTACTGCAACAACAGCTGCTTTTGTGCCCCTCCATAAACATACAGCTGCTTTCCTGGTCACTCCCCCACCCTCAGTTACACTATTGTCTGTAGTTATATCACTGATACAACAGGAAACACCTTCATGTTAAAATCCAAGTTGAAGATTCAAGATAACGAGTTTCTGAATAATAGAATCATATAATCACTATAAATTAAGGTTGGAAGGGACCTTAGGAAGTCATATTATCCAACCCCCTGCTCAAAATAGGGTTGTCCCCAACTAATCATCCCATCCAAGGCTTTGTCTAGCCAGGTCTAAAAACTTTGAAGGATAGAGATTCCACAATCTGCCTGGGTAGCCTATTCCAGTGCTTTACTATCCTCCAAGTGAGAAAGGTCTTCCTAACATTTAACCTAAACTTCCCTTTCTGCAACTTGAGACCATTGCTCCTTGTTCTGTTATCTGCCACCACTGAGAACTGTCTAGCATCATCCTCTTTGAAACCACCCTTCAAGTAGTTGAAGGCTACTATTAAATTTCCAAGCAGTCTTTTCTTCTCCACACTAGATAAACCCAGTTCCTTCTGCCTCTCCTCAGAAGTCAAGTGGCCCAGCCCCCGCACAATTTTGGCTGCCCTCCACTGGACTCTCTCCAATTTGTCTACATCCTGTCTATAGTAGGAAGCCCAAAACTGGATACAGTACTCCAGATGTGGCCTCACCAGTACAGAACAGGGGGGAAGAATCACTTCCCTCAATCTGCTGGCATGCTCTTACTAATGCAGCCTAATATGCCATTAGCCCTCTTTGCAACAAGGGCATGCTGTTGGCTCATAGTCAGCTTATTGTCCACTGTAACCCCATGGTCCTTTTCTGCAGAATGTTAACCAATGTTTCTAAACCTTGTGAATTTACATCCAACAGAAATAAAAATCCTACAAATCACTCAATAGTGTGCAAGTCGCACAGTAAACTAGCTGTTTTCACTGTAACAATAAGGTACCTCAACTGCCAATATTAAACAATACCAAGCTTTACTAATTTCATTCCCTAGAGTTTTCAAAAGCATCTCACAAGACATGATACTGGGATCAGTCCTGATTACAAGCAACTAAAAAAAGCATTGACATTGGACCAGCAAAAGCATATTACCACTAAAGTTTCTTACCTTCCCTTGGACCTAGTGCAACATTTATATTTTCCTTCCAGAACTGATCCAGAGCACATCCATTGTGTGTTAACACCTGAGTGCATAGATTGAAATTCAGGTTCTTGGGCTCATTTCGTAAATTTTCAAGCAACCAATGAAGATGGACATCTTGGCCATACATAGGGCAATTAACCATCTTAAACCTCATGCTCACACCAGCATCGCTTAAGAACGGGCTTTGGAGAGCTGCTAAATCTCTATCTATATGACAGTTAGAAGCATTGCAGTATCCAGAGTGAATTCTTCTATAAGCTTTGTAAAATGCCTCTTTGCCTTTCAGAGAACCTGTTGAAGAAGAATAGAGATATTTAATCTATTAGCAGCTTCAGGATCATATCTAGACTGCCTTCCTGCCAAAGACTTTGCCAAAGAAATAAGCTTGCTGCCCACTTAATCACATTCTGTAAACATCTAATCACCAGCAATTAGGCAGCATATGCTACATAGAAAGGTTGAGAGTGCATATTCCACTTTTGTGCTCAGATACTTCTGAGACAAACAAGCTATGAGTAAGCTTGTGTACAGGTTCAACACTACTCCAAGCCAAAGAGGCTGCATAATTGCCAGTCTTTGTTTACTCTCCCCTGAGCGAGTCAAGATAATAGGTTAAATAGACCCATGGTCTGACTGAATAAATGACAGTTCTTAAGTATGTAAGAAGGATGTTATGTAAGTTCGGCTTCCAGATCTCTAAAAAAGAAACATGATCTCTGTTCCTCTAGTAGAACTATGGATCATGTGATTTTAGATTATATCTAGAAGCCTCTACAGTGGTGGTTCTCAACATTTTTGGACTCAAGGCATCCCTCGCTAGACTTGAAGCATTCCTCCATAACTTTTGTGAATTGAATGGGCCCCAATTTCAAAAAGTAATTTATAGATTACAGTATTTACCTCCTTACACAGGGGTTGGGGGATCATCCAGGCAGGAACAAGCCTGAGCCTAGTGTATCTGCTTAGCTTACTGCTTATTTCCACACACTTTGTGACACCCTTCAAAGGATCTGGCAGCACCCAGGTTGAAAATCATTGCTCTAGAATCAGACTTCTACCCAAAAGCTAGACTAATCTGCAAAAGGTTCATTTTGATTTAGCACGGGGAATTTTTTTTTTCAATCAAACAATGCATTTGTAATTATTGAATATAATCATTTCAAATATTTGTTAATTCAGTGAAAGTCTTTGATCCATACCAAATTCATATTTGTATGCTCCAGTGATATCTTCACAACAATCATTGCCAACAGACTTAGTGCTAACACACTGCCCACAAAGCCAAGCATCATAGCAAAGTTTTTCTTTCTTGTCACTGTTTTTGGAAAGCCAACCAATACAGCTTGCATTCAGACGAGAAAATATATGTTGGCCATCATAGTCCAAATCCAGTTCTCCATCTTTAACACTTCTGATTGAGGTAGGGCCACAGCAAGCTGAACCTAGGATATATACAGGTAAATATATCATAACATGGCATAACATTAAATGCTCACTATACTACTTCAAGAACACAAGCATGCAGGATACAGGATACAGGCTTCATTCACCTCTTCCAGACTCCATGGGTGTTGGATCCAGACATTGCCAGTTACTACTGCAGAGACCTAGGTCTCTGCGAGCCATCCAGGATTCATTCCAGCAGTGATATGCCCTGTAGGAACACAGAATTGTAAGAGACTTCTTCAATCACTAAGTAAACGTGCCTGCTATTGCAGGCACCCCTTTCATATAAACCTTTTCATGTAAATAGATTAAGCTCCATTGAATCTATGGTTAGGTTGTTTACCCCACCCATCTTGCCATGTTGGAAGGTTGCTCAAGAACCCTTCTGTTCTGATGTTTAGAAACTTTCTTCTAATTTCCAGTTTAAATTTATTCATAGCCAGTTAATATCTATGCATTCTTATGCCAAAACCTGTCTTTACCTCAAATAGTTCTTCCCCCGTCCTTAGTTTACCTCCATTTATTTTTATATATATATATATATATATATATATATATATATATAGAATAAGAATATCCCCTCTTATCTTTCATTGTACTGCACTAAACAAGCCAATCTCTTTTAGCAACTTCTTGTAAAATCTGGCCTCCATTCCCTTGATCATCCTCCTAGTCCTTCTCTGTAGATTTTCTCTTCTTTCTTGAAAGTAAAAAATCAGAGACTTTGTCAACAACTCTTAAGGCCTATACTTTAATACAAGCTAAAATTCTCATCCAACCAGACTAAGAGCATGGATCATAGATACAGTTGTGAGGATACATCTACAGTAGTTTTGGTCAGTGATAAGGATTTTCATAAAACCAACTACCAAACACAATTATCAACGAAGTTATGGAGGATGGAAGATGATGGCTCAACTCTATGATGGGTTTAGCCCTTGTGTTTCATGGCCCAGTTAGTATTTTTGGACTACTCAAAGAGGGATGGTCTTATTTTTTTGCAAAGGAAAAGCGTAAGTAGTTTTGTCCTTATGTATGTTTTATGAGTTTTTCATGTAGATTCAGTAGTCATGTGGCTGCCATTAGTATATAGTTACTGAATTATTGCAGTAGTCTTGAAATCTGAAGAAATGGACATGCAGAAATGCTGCATTAGCAGGCTAATATGAGTCTTTCTATCTTCCTTGTACATCTAAAACAGCACACAACAACATAGGGAGCTCTAATGCCCTATTTCACACTTACCATAATTTGTCTTTTCCACACAGGGTTTTGCCAGTAGAGTCGAAAAGTTCATTGACAGCAAGGGGGTTCTCAGCACAGTGTGGAGAACAGAAATTTGTTATGACACGGCTTGGAATTCCCAAACACCTCATCACTACAAGGAAAAA